CTTATCAGTTTGACTTACTGGAAAGTTTTGGATTGACCACACCTTCCTTAATTATGATATATATTCTCTTAATTCTTAAGCATGTCCAGGGACACTAAAGCAGTGATGGGATTCAGCCAGTTCGCACCACTTTGGCAGAACCGGCAGCTAATTTTTTGTTGCCCAGGCCCAGAATGGACTTCCGGAAGCGGCATCCACACAGAGAACCAGATGTTCACATGTTTGAATCCCACCACTGCACTAAAGCAGGGCTTTTCAACCTTTTCACCCATTGTACTGCTTTTAGAATATGGCAATATCCAAGTACCACCAGTCGCCTAGCAAGGTGTCAAAAACTTGATGAGTCCCCCCAAAAGGAAAAAAGTGATGAAGTACAGGTAGTCCTCGACTTACAACAGTTCGCTTAGTGACTGTTCGAAGTTACAATGGCACTGAAAAAAGTGCCCCCCCAAGCCACAGCCGAGCAAGACACCTGCCTGCCCACCCGGTGGCGCTCTTCCTCGTATCCGAGGTTTTCATTGTTATGAGCATTTCTGTTGAGGATTTGCAGGGGAGGTGGGGTGGGGTGGGGTGTGTTTGGTTTTTATTCCCCCCATCTGCTGGGTGGTTGCATCAGGTTTTGGTCACTTCACATGACCCTGGGACACTGTGACCATCATAAATATGAATCAGTTGCCAAGCATCTGAATGTAAATCACAAGACCCTGGAGAGGCTGCAACATTCCATCTGATCGGCGCTTTTTCTGGGCTCAACAGAAGCACCAGGATCAGCGTCGAGCTCCAGCTGAACCCTGACAGTCCTGAAGAAGCACTGATCCTGGCACTTCCGCTGAGCCCCGACAGCCCTGCAGCTCCAGCCATCTCTCGCCATCGGTTCAGCTCATTCCCCTCCCCTGCTACCACTTTTCTAGGATGGTCGCATACCACTTGCCAGGTGCCAATGTACCACAGGTGCTACCCGTACCACTGGTTGAAAAGCCCTGCAGTAAAGTATATGAATCAGAGAGGTTCCCTGTTTAGACAGACAGATAGAGAGAAAGAACTTTATTTCAGTCACTGGCCAATAAAAGTACAATCGATAAAATGAATAACACACAAACTATCCCCTAACAAAAACTACAGGTAGTCTTTGACTTACAACAGTTCATTTAGTGACCGTTCGAAGTTACAACAGCAGTGAAAAAGGTGACTTATGACCGTTTTTCACATTTATGACCATTGCAGCATCCCCACGGTCATGTGATTTATATTTGGATGCTGAACAACTGGTTCATATTTATGACAGTGGTAGCATCCCAGGGTCATGTGATCCCCTTTTGGGACCTCCTGATAAGCAAAGCCAATGGGAAAACCAGATCCACTTAACAGCTGTGTTACTAACTTAACAACTGCAGGGATTCACTTAACAACTTTGGCAAGAAAGGTTGTAAAATGGAGCAAACTTCACTTAGCAAATATCTCCCTCAGCAACAAAACTTTTGGGCTCAATTGTGGTCATACTTTGAGGACTACCTGTACCGTATTAGCAACTATTTGTGAAAGAAGCTTACACATAATGTAGCAACACATTCCTACTTTTAGAGAAATAAATCTATCTTGATTATTTAGCAGGGAGTGCAAATAAAAACTGCCAGAGTGTCCCTGATATTTAAAATAAAAGAGGGGTAATCAGCTGGTGGTGAATGTCCCAGTACAGAAGAATAAGCGTTGCAGTTTCTATGGTATCCATATCACAGGGGCAGTATCTGGGTTTCTCTATATTTCCCTAGCCGGATAGCTGTGGGGAGAACGCTAAATTGGGTTGAAGATAAATCTCTACTAAATTTGCGATATGATATAAATGAGGTTGGTTTAGACATTAAAATTCGGTTATTTGCAATTATATAGCAAGAGAAAGCAGCAATTTCTGTTTGATCTTCTATATCTCAGATCCTTTGCCTTAGAATTGATCTACCTGGATCTGACTTTGATACCCTATTTATGTTCTCATGTACCAAACAGGTAAGTATGCCTGACTGGATGATAGATCCTATGTTCCATCTGTCTTGCGTTTAACATCTTCCAATGGTATCCAAAGAGTGGTTCTCAGCAGAACCACTGAATTATCCACTACAGAAGAAGTCGGAAAATCCACAAATAGATTTAATTACTCAACCAAACTATTTTGTCTCCATTTCTGTCCATCACACTGTGTTTCCCTCTTTGCATGTTTATTTCTGGAGTTGTAGATACCCGGTTGTTGTTTTTTACCTCCAATGTCTATTATGTTTTATTTCCCTTCAAAGCATTTCTTTTCATTCCATTAAAAATAAATTTCACAGCACAGCAAGGTGTTAGTTTTTATTTGCCCTTTTAATGTTTCTTCTTTTGGCATGACTAGTCATCTTTTGCAAATACAATATGCCTTTATTTACCCCTTTTTGAATTTTATATAGATTCCTCCTGGATTGACTTTAAACCATAAAAGGGTTCTCCATTAGCCACCTTATTTATTTTAAATTTAGTGTTTACCTTAATACCAGTGATCTATCCTTTAAAAAAACCTTTAATTTTAGAATCATTTTGAACTCTTCATTTAAATAGCAACTTCTGTTGTGTGCATTGTCATCCCAGTCAGCAAGCTTTTCTATTTATGGACTGACTTGTGTTTCCATTTTTTAATTTCTGCAAATAACTCCTTAGTTGAAGTGTCTGTTTATTTTAGCTTGAAAGTCACAGCATTTATTTCTAATTTATTTCTGCTTTAAAATACCTGGTTGGATCCAGGATTGGACTGTTAAGAGGAATTAAGCTTGATCTCACCACTCTGCCTTTATGCTCATTGGATAAATAGCTAGCAAGTCTGCTCAACCAGGAACAGGCTGTATGTGACATTTCAAATGTGGTGCACTACAACATCCCTAGGAAACATCACCTACAGTTATGGACAGTGAGGTTCATAAACCAGCCACATCTGGAATTGTTTGCTTCTATATATGTATTTATTGTATTTACATGCCATTGAATCATATAGAATTGCGTGTGTAAGCCTAGTTTCTGATAATTTTGCCATTATTTTAAATTCATGCATGTATGGTCTTTATCTAGATCTAATTCTTAGTTGTGTTAATCCTCCGAGTACACTTGGAATACTGCATCCAGTTTTGGTCACCACGATGTAAAAAAGATGTTGAGACTCTAGAAAGAGTACAGAGAAACGCAACAAAGATGATTAGGGGACTGGAGGCTAAAACATATAAGGAACGGTTGCTGGAATTGGGTATGTCTAGTTAGTAGTTTAATGAAGAGAAGGACGAGGGGGGACATTATAGCAGTGTTCCAGTATCTCAGGGGCTGCCACAAAGAAGAGGGAGTCAAGCTATTCTCCAAAGCATCCAAAGGCAAGACAAGAAGCAACGGATGGAAACTAATCAAGGAGAGAAGCAACCTAGAACTAAGGAGAAACTTCCTGACAGTGAGAACAATTAACCAGTGGAACAACCTGCCTCCAGAAGCGGTGAATGCTCCAACACTAGAAGTTTTTATGAAGAGACTGGACAGCCATTTGTCTGAAATGGTATAGGGTTTCCTGCCGGAGCAGGGGGTTGGAGTAGATGACCTCCAAGGTCCCTTCCAACTTTATTATTATTATAAGTTGCTCAGCTTTTGATCAGTGATTGAAGTGCTACATAAGCCTAGTTAAAATTAATAAATTCTTTAAATCAGACGTGTCAAACTCGTGACGTCACGTGACATTGCACAACATATCGGGACAGTTTTGCCATTGCCGGCAACGGAGTGGGCGCAGCTTCTGTGTGACGCGTCCGGCCTACAGGCCGGTAGTTTGACCCTCCTGCAAATCATAGTGGCTGGCTGCTGAGTGGGTTTTCTTTTTATGGTTACCTGACGGATACACATACTCTATGACTTACAGCCACCTGGTTAGCGACTTTTCAAAGTTAGAACGGCACTAAAAAAAGTAACTTACAACTGGTCCTTGCGTAACTGTTGCAACATCCCTACAGTTCATCGAAATTTGGGCAACCGGCATGTATTTACGTGTTCTGTCCCGGGAACACATGCTTACCATTTGCAACTTCCCAGTTGACTTCTGGGAAATAAGATTCTCTTTTCCCTTAACAACTGGGGTGATTCACTTAACAACATGTTGTAAAATCAGGTGCAACTCACTTAACCAGCTTGCTTAGTAACAGAAATTCTGATTCCAGTTGTGATCATAAGTCAAGGACTACCGCTACCTGTAGTTATACTGGCTTGGATTACTATCGTCAAACTAGTTGGTCGGACTTTAGTAAAAAGCTGCAGGTCCAGAAGAGCCCTTAGTAACCAGTTTGGAACTGTTACTAGGACAAGAGCATGGCTGTGTCCATTGAGTCATCGGGAGTAAAGTGCAAGGCAGAGATTTGAATGATTTGCAACAGGGGTCTCTAACCGTGGCAATCCCAAGCAGGGGGACCAGCCCCTGGGGATTCTGGGAGTCGTAGTTCCAATTCGTTTGGGGGACACCGACAGGCAAGGCAGGCTTATATAACACAAGAAATGCATTGGCCGTTCAAGAGCAGCGAGCAGCGCTGCTGTTTTTAACAGTCACGTGGTCTTAACGGGGGGGGGGGAGGAGAGAATATCCATCCACGCGTTGAAACAAGCACGTATCTTCCTCCCGCAGCGCTTCAGCATCTTTTACCACGACCTCCTTCCTCCTCCCCCCCCCCGCGGGCTCCTTTCTCCCTCTCCATCGAGCCGCAGCACGTCCAGCCAATCAGAACCGCGGCTTCGGTAGCCCATCGCGTTCCCCCCCCCCCCGGGCCTCTGATAAACAAAAACGGGCGGAGGAGGGGCTGGCGCTAGAGCCCCCGCCGCGAAGCTCCGCCCCCGAGGGCGGAGTCCGGCTGGAACGGGCCCATTGAAGGGAGTTAGAAGCGCGAAGAGGCCGGGCGGCCGGAGGCGGGGCTTGGGGGGGAAAGGCGGGGCCAGGACAGGGAGGCGGGGCGGAGCCGCTGTCGCAGTCGAACCCAGCTGCAGTTGGTGCGGTTGGCCGTCGGTCGCCTCTGCCCGAGGCTTGCTGGACGCGATGCCGCCTGAGAGCGGCGCCCCGGGGCTGGCGCGTTAGGGCAAGACGGGGCTGCGGCTGCGGCGCCTTCCCTTTGCCCGGCCGGCCGGCGGGGGCAGCTTCCATCAGGCCCGCCGCCTTCCTCCGCAGAACAGTCCGGTGGAAAGAGCAGCCCCTCCCGGCGCCTTCACGGCCACCGGGAGCCCTTGGCCGTCTGCGGCGAGGACACGCCGGCTCTCCCGCCGCGCTCGCCCATCGGGGGCGTCCCAAGAGCGGAGGGGGAGAAGACATCCAGCCGCGGGCGGTTTCTGAGACTTCGACGCCCGCCCGAGCGAGACCGGCGATGGATGCTCAGCCACCGAGCGCGGGGCGCCTCATTCCCCCCCATCTTCCCCAGCGCCGCGGCGGAGCCTAGTGCCAGGCGGGAGACCCCGGACCCTCTCCGCGGCTTCCGACTCTCTTCCTCCCCCCCCCCCCATGAGCGAGGAAGGGGAAAAAGTTGGGAGCCGTTTCTTCTTCGGGGGGGAGGAGCCACCGAAGTCGGAAAGCGAGTGATCGGGGAGCCAAAGAAAACCACAGGCGGACGATTCAAAGCCGACTCCGGCCCGGACTGGCGTCCCTGCGGGGCCGGCCGGCGAATCTGGCCTCAGGCCAAGCGGGGATGCCTCCCCTCCCGAGAGGCCGGCGGGATCGGGGCCGCCGCTGAACGCTCCCGCGTGTCGCCCTGCGTGGCTCTCCTCCTCCTCCCGCGCCTGGGTGGAGCCTCCCCTTCGCCGGCGGGAGGAGGCGGATGCTCGGCTTCTCCCTAAACAGCCGGCTGAGTATCGCCGGGAGGAGCCGCGAGGGGAAGCCACGAGGATGCCGCTGGGGGCCGGCCTGAGCTGGGGCTGAGTCCGGGCAGGGGGCGGACCGACGTGGATGGAGAGAGGGACTGTCGCGTGGCTGGGCGGCGGGGGGCGCCAGGCGGCACGCCCCGACCCCTGGCGCTGAGCGAGCAGCTCCGGCTCTTCCTCCAGAAATGCTGCATCATGAACCCGCCGACGATCCCGCTCTGAGCCCCAAGCGGCCGGAGAGCGGCTCCCCCGGCGCCCGCTAGCAGCGGTGGGGACGGGCCGAGGAGGACAGGGAGGCGCGGCCAGAGGGAGACGCTCCGACCCCCCGCCCTGCCTCTATCCGGCCGGGGTCTCGGTCGCAAGACGGCGATGCTTCGGCTGTAGATTCCGGGCAGGGAGGGGAATTCCGGGTCCCCGAAGAAGAGCAAAGTGCCTGCAAAGCGGAGGGAGGGGAAGAGGAGGAGGAAGAGGACTCGCCCCTCCCCGCCTTCTCCCTCGGAGCATCTCACCCGACAACTCCTCAACTTCTCATCCAGTCGCCGGAGCCGCTTCTCCGGGGCGGCGAGAACTTCTTCTCGGTCCGTACGCGCTCGTGGCTGGCTCTGGCGTTTGCGCGGCGAGTTCAGACGAACGGGAGACGACACGCGTCAAGCTAACTAGCCGCGGCTGAAGTCGCCGAGCGCCGGGACGCTCGCAAAGCCCGAGACGGGGATAAAAGCGACTCCGGCGAGGTTCTTCCGTCGGCTTCGGAAGAGCCGTCCGCCTCGCCCGGGGCGCCTGGTGCTGCTGCGTGGCCGCCGGAGGGGGCCCCTTGGCCGGCTCTCGCGGAGCGCCCATGCTGCTGCCGCGGAAGTGGCCGGGCTGGCCGCCGTCGGCGCTGCGGCTGCCGCAGAAGTTCCTTTTCCTGCTCTTCCTCTCGGGCCTGCTCACGCTCTGCTTCGGCGCCCTCTTCTTGCTGCCCGACTCCTCCCGCGTCAAGCGCCTCTTCATGCCCCGCCACGGCGGAGCCGAGCTGGAAGCGCCCCGCAGCCCCCCGCCGGGAGCCGGCCTGGCCCGCCACCTGCCCGCCAACGCCAGCCCGCCCGCGCCGCCGCCGCCGCCCTCCCGCCGCCTCCGGGACCCCGCCGAGCTCCCGCCCGGAGCGCACTCGGATCCGGCCTCCCGACGGACCCTCCCGCCCGGCGAGCAGAGCGCCTCGGCGCCTCCCTTGCAGCAGACGCGCGCCCCGTTCCGCTTCGACTACGCGGCGTTCCGGCGGCGCCTCCGCCACCCGCTGCTGGGCGGCAGCAGAGGCGGCACCGAGGAGCCCGACACCCGCGCCCGGCGGCTGAAGATCAAGGAGGTGAGTCGGGACGGCAGCCCCGCCCGAGGCCCCGTGCGGGGCTCCTCGGCGCCTTCCTGGGGCGTCCGGCCGCCTCTCGCCCAGCCCGCCGCGCCTCTTTCGGGGAAGTTCCAGGCTCGGCTGGTTCGCCGCTCGCCTGCTCTGCAGAGCCCCCCGCTGCGGTTGGCGAGCGTGATTTGGGGGAAGCCGTGGGCGCGTTGGTGCGTGGAGCAGAGCGCAACTGAGTGCACGCAACACCTGTGTGCGTGTGAATGCATGAATGCCTTTGAAGGGGTTTAGTTTGCCGGAGTTCCCTTCCCCGCACGTTGGTTTATGTTCGTCAATGTGGGTTTTCCACCGGTGTAGAATCTCGGTTCGAGGCACTAAAACTCGGCCCGGATTGAATCGGCGGCTACAATATTCTCGTTCAGGGCTTTTGCAAAACCTGCTCCGTTGCTTGGTTCTCTGTTTTATGTGGGCTGTTTTATGTGGCTTCTGCCGTGGTAGTGTGTTGGTCTTTAAATAAGTTGAGAATTAATTTGGACCACTGGGAAGGGCAGCTTCTGATGGTGTTGCTTGTCAAAATGTATTCTGCTTCATATCCATCTTAATTGATTTCTGTGTTGTTGTAGTTCTTTGAGTAAGAAAATAAAAGGTGATGGGAAAAGAGTTGCAAGCAGATGGTGATGTGGTCTAAATAAATCTCCATAGGATTCTCTAAAAAAAGAAAGGACATCATTTCTTTGAAAGCCTTTCCTTTGAAAGCCTTGCCCAGAAGTCTCCTAATCTATTTTTTCCTCCAAATGCTTCTATTTGATAGTTTTCTTTGTGCTTCCTAAGTATAAATGGAAATTATGGGGATGGCAGACTAGAGTGTACAATTGTGGGTAAGTATGCACATTGGGATTTTAGTAATTAACGTGTATGACACAGGCTAAATATATCCTTACGGTATTTGGATAGGCACCTTAATTGTTTCCACATGCAATCTATGCTGTGGATATTTAGTGTATCCTTTTCCCTGTATTCCTAAAGACAGGTTCTTCTGAGCGTGCAATTTAGAGTTGTCGCCTGTAATTGTTGACATTTTGAAGTGGTTGGCAAAGTGTTTCTGAAGTACAAGCATATCTCAGTTTTATTGCTCCCTGCAAATATATATATCTTGAGTGCTTTTTTTTTTTGATGCACCCTGTTGACCCAAACATGGGAGAAAGAAATCTTTTGCCTTGTATCAGCTCAAACTAGAGCCATCCACAGGCAGCAGTCGCAACTGTGACATCATTCCCTCCCTGACACACCTGACAAAGTGAGAAAGAGCCTGTGACCTAAAGGTTAACACAGCTGCTTAACATGCAGACAGCCCAGGTTCGAATATATATATATATATTCTGAGGTTTTCGCGGGTATTTGGATGTAGGTCTTTGGTTGTTCGGGTTTTCTCCCACGTAAAATTGGAAGTGTCTTGGCGACGTTTCGACGAAGTCCCATTCGTCATCTTCAGGCTGGTGTTTTCAGCTTCGTGCTTGAGCAGCAATGTGTGGTCTTAGCTGTTTCTTCCTTTTAACTGCCTTTTAACTTCCTTTAACACTGGCAGTTAAAAGGAAGAAACAGCTAAGACCACACATTGCTGCTCGAAGCACGAAGCTGAAAACACCAGCCTGAAGATGACAAATGGGACTTTGTCGAAACGTCGCCAAGACACTTCCAATTTTACGCGGGAGAAAACCCGAACAACCAAAGACCTACCTACATATATATATATATATATATATATATATATATATATATATATATATGAGAGTCGCCAAGACATTTCCAATTTTACGCGGGAGAAAACCCGAACAACCAAAGACCTACACACACACACACACACACACACACACACACACACACATATATATTTATATATGAGACTCTGCACTGGCCAGAGATTATGACTTGCTGAAGGTTCAGATGATGATTAGTATTTTTTAGCAATAAAGTATTTTTTTGTAGTTATGTACTTTTTTGAAGCATAATGCTATTGACATACTTAATAGATAGCAGTATAGCATAAATATAACTTTTATATGCCCTAGGAAACCAAAACAGTTGTCAGACTTACTTTATTGCATTCTTCGCTTTATTTTGGTCGGGAAGTAAACCCACAATATCTCCAAGGTGTGCCTGCGATAGAAGCCTGTGGTCATTCTTCCATATTGTGCTTGCCTTTATTATAGTTTGGCCATCATTCCTCGACTTACAACCGTTCATTTAGTGAATGTTCGAAGTTACAGTGGCACCGAGAACGTGACTTATTTATTTATTTATTTATGAGACTTATATACCGCTTTAAGTGCAAGCACTCTCTAAGCGGTGTACACCAGTAAGCAATGTATATATATATATATTTACATTGCCCCCAACAATCTGGGTCCTCATTTTACCTACCCCGGAAGGATGGAAGGCTGAGTCAACCTTGAGCCGGTGAGATTTGAACCGCTGACCTGCTGAACACAGTCAGCTAAAGTGGCCTGCAGTACTGCACCCTAACTGCTGCGCCACCTCGGCTCTTATAAACCATTTTAAATGGCTCTTACATTTTTCATGACTGTTGCAGCAACCCCAGGGTCACGGGATCAAAATTCGGCCACTTGGCAACTGGCTCATATTTGTGATGGTGGCAGTGTCTCTGGGGGGTCCTGTGATCACCTCCTCACAAGCTAAGTCAACGGGGAAGCCAAATTCCCTTAACAACCACGTTATTACTTAACAACTGCAGTGATTCACTTAACAACTGTGATGAGAAAGGTCATAAAATTGGGCAAGACTCACTTAACAACTGTCTTGCTTAGTGTGGAAAGCTTGGGTTAAATTGTGGTAAGGACTGCTTATTTAAAGCTTCCTGCCTCCTTTTTATATCTGTCGCCATCTATTGATTTCTGGCTCTTTCATCACTTCTCATCTCCTTCAAGTCGGTCTTGGTGACTACGTGGACAAAAGTCTCAGCAGTTCTCTTGGCAACGTTTTTCAGCCATTGCCTTGATAGGAAGATTGAGTGAGCAGGACTAAGCCCACTGGTTTCAGACTGTGGTAGGACAACAGGGCAGCTGACAGTCTCCTGGTCTCTCATTTAGTGCTTTTAACCCCTGCACCAATCAGTTAATCAATCTTTTTCATTGATTAACTCTAGTTATAAAACAATTCCCTTTTCTAGTTTTCTATTTTTACTCTACCTACCTACCTACCTACCTACTAGTAGTTATCTATCTTTTCTATTCTTTAATCTTTGGATTTTCATGCTCGAATAATAATTTTCCCAAGATTTGAAGGTAATATAGTAGAATAGGAATATGCAGTCTGATGCCTTCCAGATATTTGGGATCAAAAGCACCATTAAGATCCAGAGCAGGCATGATTTGTGGCAGTTGTAGTTCCAAACTTTATGCATCTTATAACAGCCTAAGATTCTTACTTGTTTTCTTCCTTTGCATCTCCTTTTCTGGTGAAACAAGTGACTGGTTTTTTTTTAAAAAACGATACTGAAAATTCAGAATGTATTTGACCAGAAACTAAACTGGAACAGGACATAACATTTGCATTTTGCAGGTTCGCTCACTTGCCCTGAACTAAAGACACAGCTGTAGTATCCCTGTAATTGCCTTTCCTTCTTTTGATTTATACTTATATGCTACAAGATTTCTTTCTGGTAACTGTTACCTAGGTTTCATTCTTTCCCTTTACTTTCTGGCTTTTCAAATCTGTATCTACACTTTATTTTTATCCCAGCTTCTGCCATGGGTATGTTTCTATTCCCCTCTTTTCGCGAGCTGTCCCGTTCACAAAGCACAGCCCTTCAACATTTCTGTTGTTTCTGTAGAACAGACTTAAAACAATTCCAACAAGCTTTTAAGTCAGTGGTTCTCAACCTTTTTAATGCCGCGACCCCCGACCGGTCGTAAGTAGAGGACTACTCAACCGGTCGTAAGTCGAGGACTACTCAACTGGTGCAGCAGCGTTTGCAGAATGGGACTTTTGGCGGGCTCAGCAGGGCAGAGACAGCCTGGACAATTCCTATTGGCTTTTGAAAGCCAATAGAATTAGACTCTATTCAAGCGAGTCTATTCTATTGGCTTTCAACAGCCAATAGAATAAAAGGGAGTAGCACAGCTAAGGAAAAGGGGGAAAAAATGGCGGACTGCGTTGTTTGGCGACCCCCGTGAAATGGTTGTGCGACTCCAAATGGGGTCCCGACCCACAGGTTGAGAACCACTGTTTTAAGTGGACGAAATAAGGCAGAACAGCTGCCAAAAAGTAACCTCAGCTGGGACGGTAAGAGAAAAATATCCAGAGGTTGAAATTTCACTGGAGAAGCAATGGAGATATGAGTGAGACCCAGGGAACTGAAGTAGCATACAATGATTGAAATTGATAGGGCAAAAATCCTGAATGGTCATTAAAATTCAGATTGGATTGCATCCAGCTTGACATATGGGACTCCTGAATTCTCTGCCCCCCTTTTTTTCCAAACTGATCTCTTTTCTCCAATTAAATTTCTACTGTTGGCAATATGCTGTTAGTATGACCTTCATGAAAAAGGGGAAAACCAAGTTATAAGTTATGACTCCCTAGTTCAGGGGTAGGCAACCGTGGCTTTTTTATGACTTGTGGACTTCAACTCCCAGAATTCCTGAGCCAGCCATGCTGAGGGGAAAGGGAGAGGTTTCCAAGCTGAGCCATGCTGGCTCAGGAATTCTAGGAGTTGAAGTCTACAAGTCATAAAAGAGCCAAGGTTGCCTACCCCTGCCCTAGTTGGAGGTGGGTGGATTATTAATCTGGAGCTGTTTCTAGCATTCAGAGAGCAGAGGGATCTGCCCAGAAAAGTGCTCCAGGTGACTCGGGCAGGTGAATTCATCCCTAATTTACAAGCTAGTGTTTCTCAATCTTAGCAACTTTCTAATGTGTGGTCCATACATCTGAAAGTTGCCAAGGTCAAGAAACACTGTTACAGAATACTTTTTTCAGTATAGTGCATGGGCTCT